GCCCCGGGGGGGGTCCGGGGTGGGGCATAAAACCCCATTTTTGGGGTTTAGCCCATGTGGTGCGCGCTTTCGCTGCGCACCCCCAACTATTTTTTTTTTTTTTTTTGAATTTTTTTTTTTTTTTTGATTTTTTTTTTGGGGGGGGGGGTCTGGAGCCGGGGTTGGGGGTGCCCACCCCCGGAACCCCGGAACCCCGCCGGGGCCCCGGGGCCGGGGCTCGACAACCCTGGTAGCAGCGGACGCTTACGTGAAGTAGAAGCTCAGATGTCGATGTAAATATCCCACCCACATGGTGCAGTTCCTTTCAAGTAGACGCTTACATATCGGATGTGAATATCCCAACTTTGTACTCCTTTTATTTATTTTTGGGTTGTTCTCCTTATGTCCTCTCAGACCGAGGCAGCACCGTGCTGCGTTTGTTCGTTTCGAGGTTGTGCTCCTCTTTTACTCATGTGAAAGATATCGACGATTTATTCTTGGTCGCCAAATTGTTTCATGCTTATCTCTTTCGTTCGCGAGACTTTGTAGTGTGAAAGCCCCTCTCCCCTGCCCCACCCCAACCAACCAGCTTTCATATGTTTTGGCTCGCCCTTGTTCTGCGTGTGCCGCCCCGTTTTACGGTTCACCCCCTCTGCTTGTCTCGATTGAATGCTGTCTGTTGGTTCCTTATGACAGTTGCGAACTTGTTCTCCATTCGGAAACCAATTGTCGCCAGGATGTATGTGTGCTTGAAGTTGTTTTTAGGATTCAGCGGTGCACTGAATGATCACCAATTTTGTTATCCCCGGAATACATCTCGTGCTCTCCATGGAATGCTGGTTGTTGTTTCCATATGAGAAATGCGAACATATTCGCACTTCGGATGTCGTACATTTGTGATTGAACTGTTGGTTCCATATGAGAAATGAGAACATATTCGTGTTTTGGCTCCATGTACTTTGTGATATTTGGAAAGCCTCCGTGCACTTTGCAATGTGGGATTGTATGATATTTTGCGTTCAATAACTTTTTGAAACGTCTCTGTGTGCTTCGCAATTTGCCCTCGAATGAATTTTCTGCATGGAATGGTTTTTGGTACCTGTTCGTGTGTTGTGAGACTTCACCTTTGGAAAAACACTACGCAAATTTAGATGTTTTCACCTCGATGTTTGCGATGTCTCTGTGTGCTTTGCAATTTGACTTGTGCTTGAAGTTGTTTAACGGATTCAGCGGTGCACTAAATGATTGCCAATTTTGTTATCCCCGGAGTACATCTCGTGCTCTCCACTGGATGCTGACTATTGTTTCCGTATGAGAAATGCGAACATATTCGCACTTTGGATGCCGTGCATTTGTGATTGAATTGTTGGTTCCATATGGGAAATGAGAACATATTCGCACTTTGGCTCCATGTACTTTGTGATTTTCGAAAAGCCTCTGTGCACTTTGCAATGTTGGATTGTATGATATTTTGCGTTCAATTTGGAAAGTCTCTATGCTTTGCAATTTGCCCTTGAATGAATTTTTTGCATAGAATGGTTTCTAGAAACTGATCGTCTGCTCTAAGACTTCACCTTTGGAAAAACAGTGCGCAACTTGAGATGTTTTCACCTCGATGTTTGCGATGTCTCTGTGTGCTTTGCAATTTGACTTGAGATGTTTTCATCTCGATGTTTGTGATGACAAGAGATACTTGTATGGATGAATATGAATCTTCTACACAAAAAGATTTGATTGCGTTTTTAACCTGTGATATAGAAATGACAAGCCAATGTCCATATTAAATCGTCGCGCTGATGGACTGCGCAACCGCTTCTCCATCAAAGTGCGAGTTCAATCGCACTTCTGGTGTGAGCCCTGAGCAATTCCCTCGCGCTTTGCTTCACGTTGAGGAGGGGATCGAACGCACCGCCGGTAAGCACCTGCACAAAACGAAACAAGAGCACGTCCCAATTGGAACATCGTCGGGTCCTCACCTCATCGACTCTCATGATGACTACAGCTAACAGCGGTAGGATGGCAGGTCCGCCTATCCGATGTGGATCTCACGGTGAAGTGCGGAACCATGCTCTCAAAGATCCACACCGGGTAGAAGGTCCCGCAAGCAGCCGCTGCTTGCTTGTAAGGCATCTTATGATGTGTCGATATAACCGACGTCCAGAACTGCTTGGTGAGCATCTAGTGCTACGCCAATAAGTTTCAAACACGACAGCAAAGTCCCCTAAGAATGTTCTTTGTCGGGTCCTCACCACATCGACTCTGAAGATGACTACAGCGAACAGCGGTAGGATGGCAGGTTCACCTGCCTGATGTGGATCTCATGGTGGAGTGCGAAACTCTGCTCTCAAAGATCCGCACCAGGTAGAAGGTCCTGCAAGCAGTTGGTGCTTGCTTGTAAGGCATCTTATGATGTGTCGATATGACAGACATCCAGAACTGCTTAGTGAGC